CATAAATGTGAGACATTTACAGAACTACTTGTATCACATATAAAACAAAGTCAGTAGATTTTATCAAAACTGCATGGATCTTATTAAACTATTTAGAAAAAAGTCTTAATGTGCACACGTCGGACACGATAACGTTTACATTATTATGTCGTACCATTATTCCCTGCGGTCTGGAGACCGCAGGGTATTGGTACGCGTTTAACTTTTGAGGCATGGAGGAGCACGTGACCTGTTTTCGGTACATGGAGGAGCATGTGATCTGTAAACCGTATATGATTGGTTAATTGACCTTTTCGAAAACCCAGCTAAATACCGTTTGCCGTTACGTTACGGATTTACCTGTAGGGAATTAGTCCGAATTATACCTAATTGAGAACATAAAACTATTACGTGATATTTCTAATTTTCTATAATTATTTTACTTGAATGATGTGTTTGAAAATTATCAATGTTTCTTTAATATCTATCTCAAATTTTACAAACAATAAATTGTTTAAACTGAAAATCTACAAAATTAAAATATTCTGCCATAAAGAGATATTTTCTGCGTAAACTTGTGTGTTTACTTTATTTATTTTTTGCTCGGAATTATTCATAAAATGGTTGGCCTATTTAATCATTTTCTTAAAAAGAAATAATTGTTTTATGTTCGACCTTCTCCGGTCTTCAACGGTCACCAGTTTCCAAAGACCTTCTTCTATATTGATCGATTATTGTCAACTATATTCCTGATACAAACGTTTATTTATCCCCCCCCCAAAAAAAAAAATGTTGAAAATAGTTAAATGAAATATCTTTTATATCATTAAAATGTTCACCGCAGGAAACCATTTTACTTGTAATATAATGGGTTGTGCAAGCTGTTTCATTGTTACACTTTTTTATTGCAATGTAACAGTAAAGTAAGTATGGAAATGTTTACCCAAGGAGCGTTATGATATATGCACTTAAGTTATGAAAATGATTTTGCGAGTTCGAATCTGCAATTGCATACATTTTTTGTTAATTCGATTTTTACTTTGTGATTTGTTTTTAATTTGTCAAGTGAGAATTCATTTTTATACGCCAAGAAGAATTTCGGTGTATAATGTTATGCACCTGTTCGTCCGTCCGTCTGGTACCAGTTTTCGTGTCCGGTACCTTTTGCACCGGTGGAATGAAATAGCAACTCCTCGGCAGAAATGTTAACCATTATAATAAGACGATCTGCAGAGCACAGGTTTAATCTTCCTCGGATTAAGGTAACACTTTCTGAAAGAAATTTATATAGATAAAAAAACTTTTGCCAAAAATATTACTTATGCGACGATGTGCAGATCAGAGTTCATGGCTTCTTAAAATCAAAATTTGCCCCACCCCGGGGATAACTTGATATATATAGACTTATACATGTTTTTCCCCATTAATTGTCATCTTAGATTTAAACAGAATTACTTACATTATTTGATTTTAATCAAAATGGAATTTGATTTGAATAGGAATTTATAATGAAACAAGGATTTAGTAGATACTTCCACGGAGAATTTTGCAACTGTAAATTAATCGAAAGTTCGTTTCAATCGTCTTATGCTCGGTTCAAGACTAGAACAGCTTAGAAGAGAAACCCGAACGTAAAAGTATCAAAAAGGCGATCTGTCATATTTAATTTCATATATTTATTGAAAAGCTGTTAAAAACATCTAGAAAATATCATTTTCGAGTTTTCATATATATTCTGAGTAATATCTTTTCCCAACACTTCTTGCTATCGCGCAATCGAACATACCTCTACCTATTACAGAAGCTCTTCTAAAGTATCATTCAAACAGGTTATTAGACTAAATTGTTAAAATGACCAATGGAAATTCTGCCTATATTTATTTCTTTACTGTCAATTTTCGCGGAAGTCAAAGTGAAATCAGACGGCCTTCGGTAGAAAAAAAATGGATTATTTACAGTCGTGAATACTTCTTAGTAATGAAATGGACCCATTTAGAAAATATTGTAAAAAGTGCACTGCTAACAAACCACATCTCTCTTTTAACTTTAAATTTTTTGCCTTTTTGAAATTTGTAAAACCTACTTTTTGTCTGGAGCATAATCACAGTGTATATCTAGATACGCCTGACTATGAAAATAAACGAACAAGTATGCGAAGGATACCTTGAAATTGTTCAACCAATGTTTAGAAGAGAAACTCAGATTATAAACGGGCTGACATATTTTTCTTTAAGCGCTCAAATAAAAAAATCACATAGCGCATTCGGCTTCCAAGATATTATTTTTAACCAGCGCTACAAATAGTAATAGGAAAGTGTCCTTTTTTAAGATAATTAAAACGACCCGGACACTCTTGTTTTGTGTTTTATCGTTATTGACTATTAGTGTAGCCATAAATGTGAGACATTTACAGAACTACTTGTATCACATAAAACAAAGTCAGTAGATTTTATGAAAACTGCATGGATCTTATTTAAATATTTAGAAAAAAAGTCTTAATGTACACATGTCAAACACGATAACGTTTGCATTATTCTGTCGTACCATTATGATATAATGGGTTGTGCAAGCTGTTTCATAGTTACATTTTTTATTGCAATGTAACATAATGAAAGTAAGTATGCAAATGTTTACCCACCAAGTAGCGTTATGATATATGCACTCAAGTTATGAAAATGATTTTGCGAGTTCGAATCTGCAATTGCATACATTTCTTGTTAATTCGATTTGTGATTTGTTTTTGATCTGTCAAGTGAGAATTAATTTTTATACGCCCGGAAGAATTTCGGTGTATTATGTTATGCAACTGTTCGTCCGTTCGTACATCTTAAACAAAAAATGAAATAAGATAAACATTTTTTGTCATGATTCAAACAAGGATCTCGACATTTTTGAAGCAAACGCAATACTTCTTAACGATTATTCTTTGAAATTTTAATGAGAAACACTTCATGTTGAATTATCGACACCCATATAATTAAATATGGAAACATTGATGTAAACAGATTATGAAAAAATAGCCAATTTGAGCCATATTGCATAATTGTCATGGTCATTATCGACAGAGGCAGTCACGTGACATGTAGTAGGTCCCTTTGAAGCTAAGGTGTTGCCAGTAAGGGTTGAGACATTAGAATAGTAGCATCCGTTTATCCCTGCATTTATCCCTTAAATAAGGCGACTAAATGAGTTCAAATTACTGGGGGCCATTGTATCTCGATAGGGTGGTTTACCATCCACTCCCCAGTGTTGCTTTAAGTTTGTAACACTCGCGGTTAGTTAAAATCATGTTTCCTGTTATCGTTTTGGTTGGGGTTTACATCGAACTAACACTGTAATGGTTATATGGCGACTTTCCAGCTTCTTTCGTGGAAGAGAACCTCTAGTATTTTTCAAGTCTTTTTCTCAGGCACGAACGGGCACCTAAGTAGAACCACGGGCGTTTCGTCAAATAGCTTCCTCACAGGAAAAATCTAAAGTCCAAAGCGGGATTCGAAATCACAACGGTAAGGGGCAATAACTTTTTGTTTGAATATCATATTCATTTTATCATTATCTAATTTTATTCGCCTAAGAAATAACGTGTTAATGACTAAAATACGAAACGAAGATTTATTTGGCGCTACCGGCGCAACGGAAATATTTTTTGCAAAACAGACAAAACTTATGCTTATTCAGGAAAATAAGTAAAATTTAATAAAACACATTAAATTAGTGAAAAAAGTAAGTTTGTTTTAAAATGTATCACACATATTTGCAATATATAGGTAAAATTTGAAGGATTCTGCGACGATTATTCTGTTTTGCCTATATTTCTTATTACATTAAGTGGTTCTATACTTAAATAAATTCCAGGCAAATATGCAATCTTGTGTTTATTGAAGTAGTTCGATCTTTTGTAAATAAGTAAACAATACGTAACTTAAAATTTAATATATTCGACAATTTATTCATAACTATTATTTGATATCACAGACATATTTTTGCTATTTGTTAATTTAAAGAAAAGTTCAACCTCAAAGTTATTCGAACATTATGCAATTCGCACCAAACGGACATATTTTCAGCGCAACAGAGATATTTTTCTTTACTTTTGTCTTGAATTTATTCTAAGTATATCAATCATTTCATTTTTACTTGTCATCATATTTATTTTGCTTCGACTAGACCTTTCAATCTTTGCAGCAACAGACAAGCATTTCAGAATTTCAGACATGGCATTACTTTGTAAATTTATGCATTAGATTCTACTTTTTTACAAAAATATGCAATTTGATTATTCAACAACGAGCAAATACCAAGAACATAAAGAAAAAAATATTAGTCCTACGGATATTCAACTGTAATGCAGAACAATTGACAAGGCTGATTTTGTACTTTTCACATCATTTGGCGGCGTCTTTGATGTGCAGCATCAACATTTAACTTGTACTTTATAGTAAATTGCAGTGATCATATCAGTAGCCGTGTGTTTGTTTACCCACTAAGGTCACGTGACTAACTTGCCAATGCAGTGTAAAGAACTGTTCACTAATTAGCAAATGAAATGTGGAAGCGGCAGGATAGCAAGTTATTCCAAGTCAAAGGGATCCTGACAACTAGACCACACCAGAGGCATTACAATGCATATAAATGTTATGTTATTGTCACGTTGATGGTTATAAGTCACAAACACCCAGTATTAAAAGTAGACAATGCAAAAGGCGGCAGCAGTTGAAATTTCGTCTTGGCGCTATAACATCTGTGGTAGAATATATGTTGCGCCTTATTGATTGCTTAAACATAAGTATAAATATGTCCCTAACATAAATTTTACTGTGGTATAATGAATAGTTATTGCAGTGTTGCAGATTTGAAGTATGTATTGTCAAAATATGTCTTCTTTAATCTTGGTCGTATGTTCCATGGCTTTGAAAATACAACAACAGCAACTAGAACAAAGCCCGTCCACTCTTGATACCATTTTTGTAATAATAAGCATCGATAAATAATAAGATGTGAAATATAAAACAAAAACAATGTATTTGAAAACTGTATTTAATTGAAAATAATCTTTACCAAAATAAGAACGTAGCAAAATGAACAACTAATTTTCTTATTTTACATACAATTTGTAATTATCGTACAACGACAACTGGTTACATTCATAGTTGTAAATTAATCAGCATGACCTCTATTCACTCTGACTGACAAATCATCCCTCAGCAAATCACATTGTTATACTAAAGAAAAAATATATTAAACTAAGCATAAATTAAACAATCTTTACTTGACTGTCAAAATTCAAAGCAAAATAGGCATTGTAGTCATGCGTCACTCGATTGTCATTGCACTGGGCTGTAGACAAATTATTAGCATTTAAAGGGACACCACTGAGGGTTCTTCTAACATGACGGGGCTAGCAATAGTTTTTTTCCAGGATTTCTGTACCATTTAATAAAATGGTAAACGAATAACCTGTGTGCAATTTTCAGATAATTTTTCATCCCGTTTTTCGAGAATTATCATATGTATTGTGCAAAATGACCCAAAAATGGACAGCGTTGTAACGCTTTTCACTCAAATTTGGCTATAAATCGCATAAAAATTGTTACTGAATTTAATTTTAAATATATTTCCCTCTTTATATTTTGCAAATTTTTCCATCGCAAGTTCACTTGATCTATGTATGAATTTCATAATTTACGTTTTGGGTTTTTTTCGACCTCAGTGGAGCTCCTTTTAAATGAGAAGTTTGCAAAATATCCTTAGAATGTTTTTTTGAAAAAAAGAAGTCATTTGAAATTGAATCTTAAACAGAATATCATGAAGTGACCTTTATACGAAATTGTCAAATCAAATGTATCTGTTGTAACTATATGAGTTGTGTTTGATAATAACCTGTCTACAGCTTCTAAATTAAGTGATATAAGGAAAACGAGTTGTTTCACACTACTTACGTAATATAATAACTCGATATTATTGTCTCTATTTTTAAGAAAAAACTTCAAAGTCATAAACCAATTATATTGCACGAATATAATGGACAGGCATATCATATTATTATTTTATAAACTGATGACAAATCTTTTTATATTACTCTTTCAATACAGAGCATCTTTGTTCTAAAGACATTTATCCAAAATGTTAATAATTTTGAATATTTAATATTTTGATACTTTTGATACACTTTTTATTTTACTTCTTAAATGTTTTATCTAAATTAAAACTTCTTTTATGAAAATATTTACATTTTTGTATCCATAGCATTACAAGAATATTATGGTTTAGCATTTCATAACAATTTTTAATAATATGTATTATGCACCCATGCAATATTATTCTTTTAGGATGTTCCTACATATATTAATTATAGTTTCATAATTGTTTTGCATCCATGACAAATTTGTCATGGCATCGCATTTAAAAACTCATATTCTTAATAATATGCACCCATATCATGAATATTCAGTTAAATATGGTCCCACATATATTAAAAATAAGTTATATATTATTGCACCCATGATAAAAAATAAATCATGATACCGCATTAGCTTAATATTAAGTTAAAATTATAATACTTGGTTTGTCATGCACCCAAAATATGATACTATGGTCCCGCATTTTATAACCTTATTTTAATAAATCTATAAACATGCACCTGTACTAAATCATTATGGTGATTACAGTCCCACATATTATTAATGAAAACAATTTATGTTGCATCCATGGCATTTAAATCATGACACCGCATTGTAAAACTGATGTTACTAATTATATGCACCAAAGACATTTGGTTTTAGTTTATAATCGCAATAATATAAAAAATATGTATAAATGTAGTTTTGCACCCATGATATAAACAATATCATGATACCGCATAAACATAATATACAATTTAATCGTGATCATGCACCCATAATATAATACAAATATTATGGTCCCGCAAGATTTTAACTATGCACCCATACATTATTATTTTGTTGCATGGTCCCGCATTTCATTACAAAATTTTAATCATGCACCCATACATTATTATTTTGTTGCATGGTCCCGCATTTCATAAAAACAGAAACTAATTATGCACCCATACATTATTATTTTGTCGCATGGTCCCGCATTTCATAAAAAAAGATAATAATTATGCACCTATACATTATTATGTTTTTGCGTGGTCCCGCTTTTCATAAAAATATACTAATTATGCACCCATACATTATTATATTTTTGCATGGTCCCGCATTTCATAAAAAGATACTTATTATGCACCCATACATTATTATGTTTTTGCATGGTCCCGCATTTCATAAAAAGGTACTAATTATGCACCCATACATTATTATGTTTTTGCATGGTCCCGCATTTCAAAGAAAAAATACTAATTATGCACCCATACACTATTATTGCATGGTCCCGCAAATAATCATAGAAACAATTGCATCCATGACATTAATATCATGACGCCGCAATATAAAACTTAATATACACATATATAATTCAGAAAGATATATCACAAAGCCGTTAACCCCAAACATCTTCAGTCAACTTGTAACAATTAACTTTCATGTCAAACAAACTTTAAACACCTGTGCAAATTACATATTTCTAATATAAAATTAGAAATTAATGTACAAGTCGTTCAATAAGAATTGCGTAACACAAATAAATTTTTACACCACTTGGCTCATAAAAGCACTTATAGCAATCATAATAATAATATTCTTCCTCTCATAAATCATTTAAAATGGAATGAGTGAAAGTTTTTTTTTTCGTTTTTTTTTCGATTTTTGTATGTTCATTTACATTATGAGAAGCATGAATAAATGTTAAACATATGCAAGTAAAATCTAAAATAACACCGGATGCAATCATTCCACTAGTAATAAAAAAAACAACAAATAAATGAATCTGATCTGTACAAACTATTGAGTCAAATAAACTACCAACATTGATTTCCACAGCTCGCTTTTTTAAACACCTCTACTTATGTTTAACAAAATCACAAACAACTTATATTGAATCTTGCAACTAATTTTTATGAAACAAATTATATGAAAGCAAAAATATATACATCCTCTTGATAATTAAAGTACATGAAACAACAAAAAAAAATAAAAATAAGAAGTATCATTTGTTGAAAAATATGCAAAAAGAGCAATACAGTAAAGTAAGCATTTCCTTGCTTTTTACAATTAAAATATTAAGATAAATGATACAGCCAATATATATAAATGTCATTAAAAATATATAACAAAGATTGTCATTAAATATATATAACAATAAACAAAGAAAAAATATATTGTTAAAAACAGAAATCACCTTTCAAACATTCAAATAACATTCGACTTTTACTAATACGGTCGTATTTACAATCATACGATTCGTCTCTGACATTGTAAACACGATTTTAAATCATATAAATTTTGATTTTAAAAACATATTGATAAAATATATTAATATTAGTTTCTTTTTAAATTGTATAAAAGTAATTCTTCATATTAAGTAGGTGCTAGTGATGCATATATAGGTGATTTTACATAATGTGATTCTATGCAAGCATAACTTTTATTGCTCAACATAAATATCAAAGTAATTACACAAACAACAATGATGCAATGTACATATCCGTTTTCTTACATCATTTAAAGCGCACACACAAATATAACTAATACTGTATAGCACGCAGATATAAAAAAAACTAAATATTTTTACAGACATTTTTGATAATTATACAGTCAAATACATTCCACACATACATTTTGTACCATATTTTTAGTTTATATACTTATAAAACTAATATAGCGTTTCATAGAAAATTTCAAAACATGATATCTTCACATAATTGTAATGTACAACACATTAAAACATATAAGTTATATCTCCTTTGCACAAAAAAGTATTAAAAATTGCTGACATCATACTACGCTACTCTATAGGTTTAAGCGATGTCCAATTAAAATATACTTAATATACTAAATATCTGATAAACACATGTTTACTATAATTACAAAGGATGTATGATAAATAATAAGTATATTCCTCAAGGTATTGTAAATGTCTTTGTAAAGACAGGATCGTTCGAGGAGCGGTAGCTAGAAGCTAGTAATGGCTACTCTTTTATAAAATCAGTAAGGGTAATTAATTATCAAAAAAGAGTCCCATTAACTGATCCCCGTATAAATAACTTCCCCATATCTAAACCATATAAAACCGTGATGTGAATATATGTCATATTGTCCCAATTTAAGTGAAGAAAGCATTAAACTTAACATACTATATACAAGCAACAAATAGCATTATTTATCATAAAGCAAATTAACCTTTACACGATAATAAAATCAACCGTCACACATACTGAGCAAGAGTCCATGCTTCAAGTTGCTACTTACGTTTAATATCTATACAATAAGTAATTGTACCCAATAATGTTTCACATATGTAGAAACCAACAGGAAATTAATATAAATAACATAATATAAAAAATCACGCATACTGAACAAGTATAGTCTTCTAGTCTAGGACAGTTGACAACACATACAAAAGATGTCTAATTTGAAATACTATTCTAAAAATATTTACAGATTGTAGATGAAAAGAATAAAGATAACTAAAACACACAAACATCTCAATATCAACACAATAATTATATTACATATATACATAAAAACACGCATATCAAACAAGATACTAATTATTTAAAAGTAGTCTTAAATGTTGAAAACTATGTACAACAAAAGATTTCTTTTTTAAACATTTATAGATTATACAGTTATCGTATATAATGATCATAAAGATATGAATAACCTCATCAGGATCTATTTGTAAGAACAAAACATTATAAAACACCAGCAAAAGTGTAATTATATCTGAATAAGTTCATACAAGTTTCTTTTTATAGTAATGATATAAGTAAATAGAACCTGTCCTAAATTCTGGGTTTGCAGTATGTAATAGGCGGCAACAAAGACATTGTTGCATCAGCTATTCATCAGAACTAATGAATATCGTTAATCAACAATAATAAAGCAAGAACATGAAGGCAAAGCACGCACGCGCTAGAATATTGACAAATATACATATCGTAAATAGAAATTAATATAAAACAAGATCAAAATTGAATGTAACACGTTCAAACAGCTCAAATTGTCAAATGAATTCTTATTTTATACTCGTATGTGCAAATAGAATTTAAATAGCGAGTCCGCTCGACATAGAAACACTATTTTGGATCAATACATTGAATATCTTTATAAACTCATAAAAATTCTAATCATACAATCATCGACTTAGATCAAAAACTTTTGAATGTTGAAAATATATAAATTATTAAAGGTACACACTCAATTTATTAACAAAACGTATATATTAAAACAAAATTGTACAAAAAATAAACCGTCAATACATTGGGATAAATATCATATAAGTGCAGTAAGAATGAAACGCTAATAGAATATATGTTTATACAAACGTGCAGTACCAATATAAGTTTGTTGAGTCCATAACAGAATCAAGGCAAAGCACACACATATTACATATGAGTATATATCTCAGTTTATTCGCAGTTGATCGTCTCTTCTCACACCAGTGTGGAATGGTTTCAACAGTACATCTTTTAAAAGTCATATCAACTTTCACCAATCTCAGTAGGTATGTTCTAAACATAGAATTTTAAATTGTCTTGAAGCAACAAAAGGCATTAAACGATTATCAACTTAATTGTTAACTTACTGCACACATTTTATAAGAAAGTTATATTAAAACAATTATGCGAAGAATATGATAATTTGATAACACATTTATCACAGAAACATTGAAATATATTATTTCGGATTATAAAAAGAAGTCGTCTTCTTTGTTTGTATATGGTGCATGTCACGCTTGTAATATTCACACTCTTCAAAAGTTCTGAAGGAAGAAAAACAATAAATTTATGAATTAAATACATTTCAAAGTACTTTATGTATCAGTTTCATTCGACCCCTATTACATAATCATAGTCATGTATATATGTGTGAATGAAAGAAAACCAAACTGAAAAAAGACTTAAAGTCGACAAAGCTGTGGCCTGTAATAGAACCGTGACTCTTGACTTACAACGTAAACATTGTTACTATACAAAGTGTTGTAAGAATAAGGAAACATTTACAGACACTTTATTATGCTATCATTATGCCGAGTTAATTAAGATATATATCAATGAATCAGTGATACATATATCAAAAATACATAAAATAAAGTACAAAAAAGTAACGATGTCGCAGAAGTATACAAGGTAATAATTCATAACTTATTTAATAATATTGACTAAGATTAGCATACAAAAAAGAATGCATTGACAAATGAGTCACTGTGCAAAAGAAGCCATATTTAACAGTTTATGACTAGTTCGTTTCAAATCCATCAGACATTTCCATTAAATACTAAATAAGTTCTTAAAATTTTTAAATAAACTGAAACTATGGTAATATATAAATTTGAAAAAAAATTAAAATAACCTTTAGAATTTTCTTATATTAGTCGTTCTCTTTTTCTTCTGCTCTTTCTTTGATGGGGCTGACATCTTTGCTTTCGCTTGAAAACTTGTTGCAAATCCACTCATCTTAAGCTGTCCCTGTTTTTTGCGCTAACAGAATAAGTGTTAAAGGCATGCGTAAGTATACTGTTCGAATGACAGGCATTAATTAAAAGTTAAAGGATATAACATTTTTGACGGAAAAATTAATGTTTTGATATCTTAACCTTTGAATATAATCATCAAATAGATCCGGATGAGAGAAGATCCCTCAGAAACAATGCAACAAAAGTTCAAGTAAAAAATGTAGATGCATTAATTAAAAGTTAAAGGATATAACATTTTTGACGGAAAAATTAATGTTTAATTTTGATATCTTAACCTTTGAATATAATCATCAAATAGATCCGGATGAAAGGAGATCCCTCAGAAACAATGCAACAAAAGTTCAAGTAAAAATGCAGATATGTGATATTCAGGTTTCATAACCTCTGACCCCCTTTCAAAATTCCAAGTTCTGCCCATTGTTATATCGTTTAGGACACACTCTTTATTTTTATTGGGCCCAAACGTCGCGTTTCATGAAATGGCACCACGTGTCGCTTATCAACGCCATATTAATACATCTGCAAATGCTTCTAAAATCTAAATTTCAAGTTTAAATGATGAATTATGTTTAAAACCGCTACTAGGAAGCGTGGCCTGTAGCTTGCAATTAAATAACCGTCCATGAACAGGGTTCAATCAAATCAAGCCTGGAACATTTACAATTTTGCCGTTTTTGGGATTCTGTTTTTCTATATTTCTTTTGGTTGTGTCTGTTCATGGGAAGAAATGAAATATTCAACACCTCTCACGCATCAAGTACCAGCTTAAGCATTAATAAATCTTACCTCCATTTCAGCTTCCATCAGCTCAAAGCATTCAAAAATATGTCTAACCATCAAACCGTCTGGAAGTACTTCAGTGATATTGAGCTGTTGTCCATCAATTAGTAATGTATTGTCTTGAAAAATATCCATCGGCCAAAACGAGTCGTCGCTCAAGTATAACCTAAGGGATTGTTTCGGATCAGCTATTCTGGATGTCAAACATCTATAGGTAAACCTTTTTAAAGCTTTAAATAAAAGAGATGATAGCAAATTATCTTTCAACTGCAGCATAATGTGATCGTGCAAAGGCCCATCTAGCTTATCAGGATAAACATCATCAAGACCCTCCTTGACAGAATCTGCACAAAGTTCTTCAAGAAGTTCACTCAGTGCAACAACATGGCCCAATTTCATAGAGCTTTCGGGACTTGGAAGCAGTTTTTTCGGGAAGTCTCTGCAAAGGATATACTTCCATTTATCCACGTATTCGACAAGAGGAATATCCGAATCACCGCTAGTTTTCTTTAAAAGTGTCATAACAATTCCTAAGTGCGACAGTAGTTCCGTCGACATTCTTGGATCCTCTGCCTTTCGGCTCTTAATGCCGTTGCTTATATCTGAAGTAAGAGGTCGCTGGGGTACACTTTTTCTAAGTTCTCGTATAAGATTACCATAATTCTTATGTAACTCATCAATGAAAACAATCTCAGGCAAAGTGTTTTCTAATATAATATAACATTTCCCAAAAATCATTTCAAGAGCAATTGCTTCTTCGATACTATAAAAGTCATAATTTATCTGTCTTCCACAGCCGTAATTCAGATTGGAATGAGATTCTTGTTGTAACAAATTGTCCCAATCTATGTCCGAGTGCACTAAATGCTCTTTCTTCAATTCTGTTACCTTCACGCATGGCAAGGCATATATTTTCTCCTTTCTTAGTACTTTCAGTGCGCTGCAGGTGCGTGACAGAAGGAGAATTTTATCCAAAAATGCATTTTGTATTCCAATGAGTTTTTGAAGAATTTTGAAAGGTAACGAATTTTTGCTTAACATTAAACACTCGTTTATCTTACTTTCGCTGTGGATACGCTTCATCTGTTCAAAAGAATTATCATCTTTGAGCTTCAACATAAGATATTCCCATGATTTTCTAAATGCCTCAAACCTTTGCTTGATCACGTCTTTCTTCATCGTGTCTTGTTTGAAATATATAAAGTCTTGAACCGTCATCGTGCTGCAGTCGTGACGTCTAAGCATATAGCTAGCATTGGCGACAGTTGCAGCATGCCACTGAATTAAGTTAAGAATATGTTTCGGAAGTTCTAACTTCTCCTCTTGTTCAATTACAGCATCAATTAAAGGGAATTTATCTTGGACGTTGTGAAGCTCATAAATAAAATTAGACTTACTTGGACAAGCTCTAATTCTATACATGACAGGGGAACAGATCAGCTTGCTCTCAGCTGTAAGGTTACTAATATCGTCACTTTCTAACAGGCACATCGTTATAGACCTGTTCTCTCCGTTATGTATTCTATTATGACGCTGATATAATATCCTTACATTGACACAATGTGTGTCTAAAATAGACATGAGCATTATGTCAAAGGTCCTTTCCCACTTCAAAGTTGCTTCCATATTCGAAAAATTACAGTTGGTGTCAAACAGGTGATTGCCTGTTTTCAGAAACACGGTATGTAAAAACGCTAATATGCCATTGTCATCAACATTTAGAAGATCCTTTATAACATTCCAATGCGTATCCACTCCTCGTGAAAGTGTATCTACGATGTCAATCTCTGGTACGTTTAAGATGTCTTCTAAAAGGTTCTTTGATGTAAAACCAAGTGCCACTGAACCTAAAAAACAACCTTTTAACAACAACTGTAAAATATGACTTGTCACTGGATTTATCAATTTTGAAACATGAATATCATCCAAGTTTAAGTTTTGTCCTTGTGATAACAGCACAGTTAAATTGGACTTTGCTGGTGTTGCCATACATATAATTGTTCTACTGCAAATACCACATGTAATGCTGGAAACGCTATCTTCAGAGAGTATTCTGTGACCACATTGACACACACCCATGTAACAATTATACAAAGACTGTGTACCTTCGGCTTTGTTTTCTGTGGCATAGCACGGAAACCCTGGTATAAAACAGGAAGATATGCACCTCGGAAACAGTAAACATCTTATAAAGAAAGGCTTGAGTTGATTGTCGGTGTCATACATTTTTGAGGAAGATTCATCTTGCGCAAGAACTAAGCTATAAAGTGAAACCAGAAAAGACGCTTTGCATGTATAGCTGTTTGAAGAAGCATTCGTCAACAAAAAATCCCCTGTTGCAAAATTCTGCTCCCCTAAAATACACGATACAAACGATTTCGTTTCTTTGCACATTCCCGAACCCATAACTTCATTTAAAACTAATTGTGCCAGAGAATGCTTGGTGTCATCAATATCTTTGTATCAAAGTTGCAAATAAAATTCTCGAAAAATAAATGAGAACAGTTGCAACATTCCACATTTACTGTCGCAAGAATTTGATACTAGACTTTTTATTGTTGTTGTAAAGTCAGCAACTTCAAGGGTTTCGTAAAATTGACAACTGTTCTCATGGTCCGTTTCTGTAATGTACACACACAGAGGACTTTTGAAAAAATCACTCACGGTGGAATCCTTAGTCCAGGGAAATGTTTGCATAAACGATGTATCTGTATAACAAACGCACATATTTTCAATTTTACTTATAGAAACATTCTTTAACATTTTCTTTAGGAAAAAGACGGCTAAAGGATGTATTTTTTGCCCTGGCAGATCATCTAGTACAACGTCAAGAATTCTCAAGAGAGCAACACATTCTTCACTGTTTGCTTTCTGAAGAACAATCACTGCATAGCTAACAAAAGTTTTACAAAACGCAACTGATGCTAAATATTTTAATCCGGGTCCATGGCTTTTTATCGCTTTATGGCAAATATAAAACAATTCAACTAAACTCTCATCGGGACAAGTATCCTCTGTTTCAATCGCGTTGTTATTTGATTGAAGAAAATATCTTTCAAAAATATCTTCCAAAATATCTTCAATCAAAATTAAAAATGGGTCTTCAGTTCTGTCGCATTTGAGCATTGTTTTCAAACAGTTATCCAAACAGTCTAAAAACTGTAGCGCAAAGTCATCGTCTGAGCTATCCGTGTTTATTTCCCCCGAGAAATAGGATTTAGAATGCTCTTGAAGCAAAACAGTAGTAAGGTATTCTACGTCAACAGTTTGAATGAATGTACTTAAAGGAACTTTATAACATGCAACGTAGTTTTCCGGTACTTTTCTTTCAACAAAAAGCGTAAACAAAAACTGATATGCTTTCGTATCTGGGTCTGCAGAAAGGCATCTTACAAAATAAGAAGACAAAAATCTCTGGCAAATTGAGTTCACATTTTCAGAGTGTATTTCCTTTACTGACAAGGCATTTTCAACCAAAGCAACAATTGAACAAAAAATATCGTCGCTGTCTAAGGTAGTGCCATGTTTCAATTTTGCACCAACATCTTCAAGAATATCAGAGTTCATATTAAGTGGTATGATAATCTGACTGGCAATTTCTATACACACTCGGATAGAATAAATAATTGTTGGAAATCTCGAAACCTGAGCAGCGAGTGAAATCATTGATGTAACTTCTTCAAGCCATTGTTGCAGACCATTGTGTTGCTTTAAACATTCGGCGGTTGGTAGCATATATTTACACACAGTTATAATTAAACGCTCACTGTAAGTATCATTGTTTCCCAAATCAATAGTGGTGTCAGCTTCAAAACCATTTATGTGTGGTGTCATCATTTTTAGTAACAAATTATGTTCTTGTGTTTCAACATTTTCCAGATCGTTCAGAACACTTCTTTCAAGTCGTATTTGGCACATACCAGAATTCTCGTCTTGATATTCATGGGCGTTAGCCTTAAGATCAGTTTCTTGACTTGAATTTAATCTCTTTAAAGAATATTCCTTTAAATCATCGTCAGTACTCGAACATTGTTTATTATTTCCTTCTTTATAAGTATTTGCAGTTATATCTAAATCTATGTTCAGGCCTCTGGTTGAGTCATCTTTTATTAGGCCAAGTTCATTTATTTGATTTTCTGTTATTTTTGACTTATTTTCTTGGGAATATAGTACAGGTCTTTCATGACCTTCATTTTGAGGAACCTGATTAATTTCAGATTCTCTGACTGAGAAATGCTTCGTTTCAACATTAATTCCCGAATCAGTCTGTTCCTCAGTCATGTAGCCTTTATCTAAAACGGATAAGGTTTTGTCTGAACCATTTTGTTCCGTTATCATATCCTCATCGAGAATTTTACCATCTTTGTAACAAAGAATGTTGTTGTGCTTGCTTGCTTTTGATGCTGACATGGATAAGATGTTTAATATTTCGTTCGCACTTTCTGGAATCACACTAATGCATTTATCGATCAATATCATTTCTGCACGAATTGATGAATAATGAACCCACAGTGTTGCATGTAAACGAATCATAAACGTAAATGGATCTTGGTATAATTTTATACCTTGTCGTCCTAATATAAGTTGAAGAAACTGGACGATTTCCATTTTGACTGAGCAGGTAAAAATCATATATGAAGACATTTCACAGAAATCCTTAAAGTAATCAATTTCCCATTCCCTGTATGTTAATTCTGATAAATCTGGAATAACATTGAATATAGATTGTTCTTGTTGAGTACAAACTGCATCATAAACTTCAAAAGGTAAATCTTCATCTTCATTAAGCAAACATTGAACCCGATAAATTCGAACCATTTCCATAAATTCATCTTTTGTAGATTCTATTCTCTCATATATAGTTTTACTAAAAGGCATTTTAAGAGCTAAATCGACTGTATCACAAGTATAGCATTCAGGACCAGTTTCATCAGGCACGTCTTCTATTGAAAATACTCTTTGATTGTTTATTCCTGATATCCATGCTAACCTTTTGCCTTGATTAAAACTTTTATCGTTGCTAACGTCATGTTGGAAGAAACTTTCTAAAATTCCCGTTTGCTCTATTCTAAAAATTAGCTTTGCAAGCGGTGCTTTCAGTTTATCCATTATATAATGCTCTAAGGCATCAATAAAGCCTGAAGAAGACGCCAAAGCCGTAACGTCGCATGCAACCTGTGTGAGCCAACATTTATTGTGTTTTCCCGAAAACTGCTTTTGGATGCATTGTAATATTTCTTTCTCAAATAAGTTAAAGAGCTCCGGTGAATTCTCCATTGTCTCTATAGCGAGCGATATGCTATCAATATCTCGTCCGGATTTTCCATACCTTATTCTTGAATATGACCAAAATAATTCTTCCTGAATATAAACTCGGAACGGTCTTTTTTCACGAATAGCCTCCTGCAGTGTCATTTTAGTCAAATTTGGCAGCGGAATTGCTGGCACTTCTAAGCTATCCATCATGACGAGTTTCCATTCTGATAAAAAATTTAGCTGTGAAACACAACTGGAAGACGCTCTGCTTCTATCTAAGTGAATAATGAAATACACATGCTTGGAAACATTGCTTGATTTGCCAATATATTTGGTCCTGTATCTTTCTATAACTAACTTCGTCAGAAGGATATGCCGTTCATCATCTTTTGCGTTACAGTGCATAATCAAAATATTTGAGTCTTCTGCATCCCAATAAGACTGAATTCTTGATGAAAGTTGTTTTTCTGACTTGAATGTACCAAGTTTTTCTATTTGCACGCTAAGCTTTTTTTTTGAAAAAGACACCTTTGTGTGAACGTTACTATTCGTAAAAATAATGGTCAACAGACCATGAGATAATTCTTCGATTGGTGCAGTTTCAATTTGTTTGAGAATGAAATTTTCAATTCCATGATGTATTGGTAATGAGAAATACTGCCTCATCATTTCTTCTAAATATCCGTGTACATTTGTACGTTTTGATGACCTCTGACGTATCAAAATTTCTGGTTTTATTATCCATAACAATTCGTCCTTAGATAACGTAAAGATAGTCTCAGCATAATCAAACTCGTGATGAATAGAGCCAGATTCTGTTTTTAAAACTAGTGATGCTGTGAGATCTTTAGAATATATTGGGAACATTTCCTCTTTTTCTATTTCTCCTTCTGTGGTGTCTGATAATTCATTTATCCAGTTTTCTAAACGCTCAATAATGGCAGCATGTTTTTCCTGAATAATATCATAGAATCTCAGGTACTGTTTCTCAAATCTATTAAGGAATGGAGGATCTGTCAAGTCAATTTTTCTTTCGTCTGTAAGAACAATACATCTGAACGAGTCTGCTACGTGGCACATTGGATTGCTATATGGTCCAAGCGCAACTCTACAATTTTTCTTTTTTCCAATTAATGTATAATTCTGATTCAGCATATCATATAAACTACCATAGATGCTCTCTAAATCTTTAAGAACGAGAACTACTCCTTCCTCCATGCATAAAATTATTTTGCTCAAAATTCTGTAATTGTAATCGTCTGTTAGGTCTTCTTCAAACTGACTACCAAAGATAACTTCTTTCCTGTCACACCCAATATCCTTTAGATTATGTTCAATGATGCTTAAAACGGATTCTCCTGTTGTTATGAGCATTAAATGTCTAGCAATTGGATCTTTTATATTTTCCACAATAAGATTCATTGTCGGTTTTTCGCTAAAATTGACAAGACGCAAATGTTGCTGAAAAACGTCATATAATGTTTGTACTTCATCAGGCAGTCCACCAAAATTCCTGGCAATTCCATCAGTTATAAAGTCTGCTTTATCTTCATCTGTACATTTATATCCTTTTGCCGCAAACATACGTGCAACGAATTTAATCAACGAGTAATAATCACGCAATCCGTGAAAGTTTTTGAATCGTAAATTATTGATATATTCGAAATAAGCCTTTGCCATTCCATTTAATTCTGCCCTTATAAACTGCAGTGCTGTTTCCGTATCATATCCGGCAGTTGTTTTGAAGAGTGATTTTTTGTAATCGTGTCCTAGAAAAGATTCACTAATAGATATAGCAGTGTCAAACAACTCTTCATCATCCATATCCGTCCGAGAGAGATGGATCGCTCTGTTCATCTTTGATGCATCTAATGCCCAATTAGATATTCCTACTACAGCAACATTAGGCTGACTTGCCCCGTCTGGTTCAAGTAGATTGTGCAAAACTTTTAAGGGATTAAATCTTGAAACTTCTGCCAACCCAATTTCATCTAAAAACAACAACGGATAGAACTTCTTCGGAATTGTTTGACTCTTGGTACTTCTCTGCTTTTTCAAAAACTTTAATGATGCCATCCGAAGTTGACGACTCTGAACCTTGAAATGAAACACAGTATAACTGTGGCAGTTCTCTAAAGAAATCATCCTCCGAGTCTTTCCCACGTAAGTTGCTTTTTATTAATTGCATTGCTAGAGATTTGCTGCAACCTGGTTTCCCAACAACAAAAATTGGAATTTTATTGAAAATGCAAACAAATATGACAAAAACGTTTTCTTGAAGCGCCACGTTACGAGCAATGCCTGGTGGAAGTCTCATTCGCCTGAGTAAGTCAAACTGTTCTTCTTTGATTACCGTATTAATGAATTGATCTTGCTCCCCTGGAAACTGATATTCATGCAATTTGAAAACATCTCCGATTATACTTCTATATTCCTTACGTAATCTCTTTTCTCCAAACCTACTTTGATAACAATGGGCCAAAGATAGTATCATTGACCTAATATCATAGCTGCAACTTATTGACTTTGCGTTCTTAGACATGACTTTTTTCGGGAGAATGTGAAGAAACCACTTTGTTAATAATTTGCACCTGTGAATATCACGAAGACTGACAGAGTAAGACGATTCTTCCTGTTTTCTTACAAACGACTGGGAAATAGCCAACAGGTTAGTAAACAACTGATGGTGTTTTTCATTATCTTTAAAAACATCATGTGTCATTTGATATATATAAGTCCTTTCATCTTTTTCATTCAAACAACCAAAATCCCATATATAATCTACCATCATTTCAGGCAAAGGCAATACTCTGTAAACTAATCTTGATAATTCATCAGATTTTGCTTTTCCTGCTAAACCAGCAGTTGAAAGTGCCTAAGTAGTTCTAAGTTTGTAAGGATTACAAGCACCCATGATAGTTAAATTAGGAGAAAGTTCCTTTCCAAGGCATTTATGATGACAAATAATGTCAGACATTATCCCTAAGCAGTCTGATGTGTTGATTTCATCAAGGAATAGCCACATTTCTTTGTCTAGCTGTTCTAACGCTTTTGTATTGTTTCCCATAACTTTATAAATGATGTCTTCTTCCTTCACACCTGCGTGAATATTCATAACATCAAAATCGACTTCACATATTGCTGCTAAATATCGAATAAGTGAAGTCTTTCCACATCCTGTTTCTCCCATAACAACAACGGGAATGTTTGCTTTAATACGTAATGTGATTAATACCATTTTCAGCAAATTATCTGCAGTCAGTGCATAGTCTTTTGAGAGTTCTAACAACTCTTTTTTTGGAAGTGGTAACGGGTTTACTCTTGCTACCCTCTGGAGCATTGTTTGCAATTTTTCCTGGTCCATACACTTAAAATCCTCCATGTCTTTTTTCATCTGACTTTCAAATAGACTTCTAATTTCTTTTGGAACTAATGTCAAATTTCGATATAGTGCAGATATTGTATGAATATTCTGATTGTGAAAAAGAAACATCAAATGATTGCTGTCTTCCCATCTTATCATGCTATTTACACGATTAGTTACAGAGGATGCTAAATCAGATTTTATGTTTTCCTCAGTTTGAATTGCTGAGATCTGACTCTCACGACAGACATCTATTGATCGAGTTGCAAAATCGTATGAAACATCAATCATTGCTGCTAACAACTGACTTTTAACAGATAGCTTAACTTTATTTCCAATCATATCAATCAACCTTTTTGACTTGAAGAACGAGCTCTGAGACATTTTCTTTAGTTGATCAGACAAAACATTGATGAATGTTAATACAGTTGGATACGAAGTTTCAAGTTTTCCTCCTATATATTTATGAAGAAGAAATTTACAATGTTTAGATTTTAGTGGCTTTTCAGATTTTTCATTAAAAGATATATCTTTGCTATCAATCGATCCATTCTCTAAACAGTTTAGATAGTGACAAACTACTTGAACAGGGCTATTCAATTCCCGACTTACTGTCAAATCATCTATACCACTCCATTCTATTTCTTTTCTTCTGAATAATACAGTTGTTTGCAGTGCATTTCTCAGAGTTTCATTTATTGTGTTTGCAATTTCAATATAAACAACCGAAGTCTGTAGGCCAACCGAAAGTGTTCCAGCTGACACATACCGTAAGACAACAAGCTCAAACAGAAATGTATCTAGATCTGATGGACTGTCGACATTTCCTAAATCAATATGCAATACATGATGTTTTTTCAAATGCAAGTTATCTATTCTGTCAACCAGATGCATTTTGCGTATCGTTCCACTTACATGAAGGGTAACAAAGCCTCTTTTTTGCCTATGTGCTTCTGAGGCTATAAAGGATGTCTTCCCAAGTCCAGAATACTTTGAAGTTATAGTGACAACATTTCCGCAATGTTCATTGAAAATATCTCGAACGGTTTTATCAGTGACTGGAGTGACAGAAGATGTATAATCACTTAATTCATCAATAAATGGATGGTTCCGTGACCCTCTACATATTATAGCGAGACAAAATTGCGTTTCTTTTGGCAAATTTCTTAAGTCTTCTACAAGTTTGAACTGAAGTTCATTGGAAAGATTTTCTACGTTCGCAATACAAAAAAGGACATTCACTTTGTAAAATTGCATTGATCCCAGGCATCGCCGTATTATCAGTTCTAACTCGGCCCAACTGGTTTCAAATGTACAAAATAGTATGTGATTTGGTTCAGGAAGTCTTTGTGTCGTGTTCATATAAAGAGCCAGAATAGTTCTAACAGTAAGGAGACTACATTCATCTAACTGAGCTACTAGCAATCTGCCAGGCAGAACAATATCATTCATCGTTTTAGATGTATTGTTCTGAATATTCCTTTGAAACATTTGTAAACCCTCAAACGATTTATGTAAGGAAAATCCAATGCAATGAAGCATTTTCTGTTTAGTCCAGTTGCCAATTATTGAGTTTTTTAAAAACAATCCTTTTTCAGTCTCATATATTTCTTTAAATTTTTCAGCTTGCATGTTTGGGTGTATGAAGTGTACAATAGTTTGTACAAGAGGGATATTTTTACTATTTTCTTCCAGATATGTAAACAAAATGTGAATTTGGTTTCCTTTAATGAAATTCATAAGGTAGTGAGTTTTCCTTTCTTCGTTGATATCATGTAACCATGAGTTAAGACTTAAATTTAACTCTATTTTCCTTTTCAGTAAATCATATGGTTTGACTACTTCTTTAACAGTCATGAAATCTGTATGTCCAGACGTATACAGTGTAAAAAGAGTCTCTGCAATGTCGATACAAAGATCTATTTCTTCAACAAATTTCATCAATTCATCTCGGTTGTAACGATTTTCATTCGCAGTCTTCCTCTCAGTGTTCATTAAAAGAAGTGCTCTGCTTCTAAGGTCGATCAATGTTGATTGTTTTCTTAATTCCTTTATTTTGTTTTGTTTGTACGATGCTTGGAATGTCGTACAAGTTTTTAGTGTGTTCAACTGAAAGAAAATTGTACCTTTCTGAATGATGTTTTTTATCATTTCTTTTGTCTGTTCCCCTCTATTTGCGACCCCATTGTAAAGAGATTTTAAGTTGTGCAGATTTTGTTTGCAGTCTTCCATTTTTTGAGGAAGAGAAGAAGAGTTTGTTTTTGAAACATTTGTTTGTTTCTCCAACAGCTGAAATAACTCATAAATACTTTTTACGTCTTTAGACCGCAAAAGTGGATAAAGAAATTGTTTGACCTCTATCAATGCAGATACTGTCGAAACTTGAACCTGTTGCTCTGAAATATCTTCTACGGCGTCTATAAGGTTTTTTATGTCTTCATCTAAGATATTGCTTATGAACTTGATTAAAGATGTTGATCTGCCTAAAACTGTCATAATATTGACTGTGTCATCAGAGATGTTTGCCACTAATGAGAATATTGTTTTTAATGCTACGTGAACATCTCCAAACGTATATTCATCAGCTTTACCTAGTGCCAAATTATGAAATGAAGTCATTGATTTAGTAAAAACAGCGTCTCGTTTCCAATCTAAGCCAAACACATGAACAACTGATTCAATCGCATCAACAGTTCTTTCGACAGAATCGCTTGAAAATATTCGATTTAAACATACTTCTACTTCCTTCTCAACAACAATATGTAAGTAGGATTTCGCAATTTCAACTTCTCTTGAGATGTCTGGTTTTGACCCAAACATTCTCATTACATCTACCATTTGAAAATTGTCGTCTCTTGTAAGTGACTTCCATATGACTTCATATTCTGTAGGTCCAACATTTTGTAAAATCTTCATAAAACTCAAGCAACCTTTTTCGTTACTAGAGTATGTTCTATCACAAACCGATCCTTCTTGAAAAAGCTCAGAAACGGAACTTATTGGATCATCTTCATAGAACCTCTCCATTTCATCTAAATATCTTTTATAAACATGGTCAGATGAAACATTCCAGAATACTGATGATGATACTACTTTACATAGATATTCGCAGATGTTTGGTAGCTGCTCTATATCTTGCCACATACGTTTATCGTTTTCGCATTCACTTGCTGTTATCATTCCATTTATAAATCTTTTTTCATTGTCTGATACCCTTGTAAGCACAATATCAAAACCATCAGGAAGGGTTGGACATTTTTGTTTAACCTGTGTCATGACCTCACATGTTATACCAAGCTTATCTTTTACTTCTTTGAACCTTTGCAATGCTTCAGACCAATACCGTTCGATATCAATTATATCAAACTCTAGTTGAAGCAATTTCTTTGCTGAAGATGCTGACTGTAGATTTCTTTCAAGTTTTTGCAAAAATTTAAAATGAACGTCGTGAGTCTTGAAATGATGTCCGATACTTGAAATACATGCTCGTGCAGCTTTGTAGTTAACATTCATTTGAATCATGTCACTGTACTGTCCTGTACATTTAAAAATCAGAATCCAAAACTGATATTGTTCAACAAGACATAGAAATCTGTCAAAGTCAGTTGATTCCTCAGATATTAATGCATGCGTGTCCAGCAAAATGCAAACTAATCTTGCAGTCAAACTGAAAAAAGTATTGATGTTTGTAAGTCTATGCAATTAAATTGCTGTTGTCTCTTAAGTAAAAGGTATCACTAAGTAAACGTGTTACAAATCTTGAAAAGTACACGTTAATGAATTTTACAAATTTCGTTAACAACTTCAAAATCTTATAAAGAATGCATGTTAGTATGTAGCTAACAATTGAGATATTCTTCTTGGCTTATTTCGTTTCAATACTTTGAAATGAACGTAATATTTAAAAGCTATCGTATTGAAATTTTGTAAGTATTCACGATCACTACACATCAAAAGATTTATGTATAAGAGAAAAGTAATTATAAAAGCGTATCTTACCTTGTTTCCACGATTGACTTTCCTTTTCGGATTGACAGAATGTCAAGCAGGATCTCTGGTCTTTCAGATGTTTTCTTTAATGTCTTATTGAAATGACCTACAAAAATATTGTCTATATCTTTGTATTCTTTTGACATTTTATCTATAACAAATGTGTGCTTTAAAAGTTCCGTGGGTTGATATTTGTCAAATTCACGCAGAAGAATATTCTCGAGAACCTCTATAAGATTGCAAGTCTGTAAGAGATATTTTATGTTCAAAAATCTACAAAAACGCTTTAAAAAGCAGTTGAGTTCCTTGTCCTTGTCCATAAAATAGCTGCTATTTCTTGTGAGATATTTCAGAGCAAAGTCTTGAAATTCACCTCTGTCGATACAATTGAATATCTCTGCCAGTTCTTGGCGCTGAGATAAAATGAAGAACAGCTCACGTACCGTATTATTATTTGAATCCATTATAATTTGAAGCAATTTTTTCTTGCCATTCTTGTCGTTGAAAAAACCAGATTCGATTATAAACATAACAACAACATCTGCTGGACAATCAGCTGACGAAGGTAAAACTCCAAGGGTAGTAAGCAATGTTTCTTCAAATTTTGTCTGAAGTTGTGTATCAGCTTTAATAAACATTGTAGTGTTCCTCCAAAGGTCATGTAGTTTTTGGATATTTTTTTCTTTTTTAATTAGTCTTAGTTCAGAGTCCATTCTTACTTGAAATGCAATGCATAAACTATTTTGTATATCAACTTCATTTTCAGACATGCCATCTTTGTTTTGTATTATTTTTGAGGTTACATATAATGTCATGTTTAATGGACAATGTCTAAGAAGTATATCCAAAGCTTTTTGTGCTTTTTCCGATGAATCTTCTGTCGAAGAACAGTACAATTTACAACAAAGACTGAGCGCAGAGTCATATATTGACTTACTATCGTGTGCAACTTTAGTACCGCTCTGAATATGATGACGGAGTCGCTGCAAAATAAATGAGTCATCATAAAAAGGGTAACATGCGCTAAGATATTCCACCGGACACATTTCTTGTCCGTATACATTCACGCATAGCGAGTTGCAGACATTGTATATGTATTTTCCGCATGATACATGTAAATCTTTCAATCTGAAGAGCTTTAAATTGTCCAAAAGAATGTTGATAGTTGATTTGTTTAATATCTCTCCTTGTGAAATCTGTTGAATATTTGTCAAGACATTTCCGATGACAACCATAAACAGCAATTTAGCTTTTCCTGTACCTTTAACAAGAACTGTTTCAAGTTCTTTTAAAAGATGTATGGCATTTTTATTTAGGAGCTGTCTGAAACATAGTTGCTCTATTTGACTACAGGCATGTTTAATGTCAATAGCTTCACAATGAAACAAAATATCCCTTAAATGTGCAGTCAAACACTCCTCGTCATATTTATTTTGGTCATGTATATGTTGCCCTTGACTCATCCAGCTATCCCTCTGAAAAGTGTATTCATTTAGATGGTATTTTCTACTTTTCAAGGGCGGGATTCCAGTCCAACTGAATATTCTGTCACCTTTTAAATGGCATACGTATTGATATGAGAAATGCAAAGGCTCTTTTGGTAAAAAGACCGAACATTCATACATATCAATGCCATGCATATCCATAACGCAATTAAGAAACTTGCTTTCGCTTTGAATTTCAATCTTTTTGACTTTCCAACCTTTTATACATGGATAATACAATAGTAACGTTTTCCTTACCAGTTCACTCTGAAAGAAAATAGAAAATGGCTCAAAAAAATTTAAAAAATCATGTAATTCCTTTTATGCGTTTCGTTAGAATTTCTCGGGATTTCGGGAGAACAGCTTATTTTTGATGGCACAAAATGAAACAGTTAAAAGCATACCCTTATAGAGCTGTCCAATACCTACTCAATGATGTATACAAGTTTCTCTAAATGCTATTGAAGAAGAGAGACATTTAAATTTGTCAAATACACACATGTGTGGAATACTGTTGTTAAAATGGCTGATTAAAACGTTGACAAGAAGAAAGAAATACAGACATATATACAAATTGTTCTTAGTTTGGTTGTTTTTGTTTTGAAGCAGATATATGCTTTTATATCTTTTTGTTACACAACCTGTAATGTGTCCACAGTTTTCAGATGGAACATGGTTCTGGGTTAGGCTTTATTGAAAATGCACCTAAATCAGGAAAGTACAAATTTCCATCTGGTATCAAATGTAAAAGAAATTGTTGAAAGAGATGCTTGATATATAGTTTGCGATATAGCACGATTTGTTGGTGTTTTTTCACTATCAAGTGTTCATTATATTCTAAAGAGTGTCTTGACGAACACAAACAATTCTAACAGGTGGGTGCCTCATTTGTTAAAAGATGACCAAAACATGCAATGAATTACAATAACCAAAAGTATCTTAAAATATTACATTGATGATATTTTAAAAATAAGGGCCCTTATATCGCTCACCTGATTATAAACGTCGTTATGGCAAGGAACAATTAATTTGATAAATTATAAATTAAAGAAGATGTAAAATTCAAATCTGAAACTGATATTTGTTGTCAACAGAAATGCACTTATTGCTTTAGAAAATCAATATTTGCTATGGAAAGTCAGTAAATGCATTGAAAAGTAAATCGCTGATTTTGAAATTCATTAATTGCTATGGAAGTCAATGGTAGCTATAGAAAGACAATGGTTGCTAAGGAAATTCAATAGAAGTTAATGAATGCTAAAGAAAGTCAATGGTTACTTTCAATGTCACTGGCTGGCTGTTCTGGGAAATCACTGGTTGCTATGAAAAGCCAATATTTGCTATGGAAAGTCACTTGTTGTAATGGAAGTCACTGATTGCCAAAAAAATGTTATTGGTTGCTATGTGGTTCACTGCTTGCTTTGGAAAGTACATGTAAGTCACTGATTTTTTTCTTGGGTTTTGCACCATTTCGAAAAACAATATTGGCTATCAATACTAGGCAAATACACATAATTACTATACGCTTGTTTACTACAAAGAAACCTCTGATGTTGCAATTCCGGTGCCAGTAAAAAGACATTAATTTCGTCACTGGAAAGTAATATTAAGATAGTTATAATAGTATTGACAAAATTTAAAATACTAACAAAACAGGCACCAATTTAACTGAGCCAAACCATCCATTCATAAAAAACAAACTAGAACTATCACTAAAGGTGATTATTACCCCCACCAGCAGCAACCTTGACATTTTGAAAAAAGTAGTCTGAAGAAAAATCTGAACTCAACCTATGACTTATGAAGTTTCAACTATGTACAAAAGTTGATTACTATATATACTAAATTTGATTATTATATCTCATTTCTAGCTCTAGTTATTGTCTGAAAACCATTTGTTTATGTTTTAGTAAAAGTGATCCTTGACCCTAGGGGTTCCAATGCAATCCAACCCAGGGTTTCCAGATAAGGTTGCTAAATACCAAGTTTGATTATAATCACTCATTCTCAACTAATGTTTTCGCCTGGAAACCATTCTTCATTTTTAGTAACAGTGACAATGATTCCAGGGGGTTGGTCCAAAAGCAAACCCAACAGGGTCTTCCTATTAGCTTGTTCTAACTGAAGTTATTATCCGAAAATCATTTTTCTATTTTTAGTTATAGTGACCTTGACCCAAAGGGGTTTAAATGCATTCTCAATGAGGATCTTCTTAAAAACTTGTTATACATGCATACCAAGTTTAATTACAATATCTCATTCCAAACCCTAGTTATTGTCCGGAAACCATTTTTCATAGTGACCTTGATACCAGGGGGTCCAAAAGCAATACCAACCGGGATTTGCACATAAGTTTGCTATTTACCAAGTTTAATTTACAATAACTCATTCCAAACTCATGATATCGTCCAAAACCATAAAGGAGACCATCCGATCGACGGACGGACGGGCGGACGGACCGACTGACCTTCCGACCGACCGACCGACCGACCAACAAGCTGACTCCTATATACCGCCCCCCTTAAACTTACCTTATAGCCAATTAAGGCCAATGGCATAGTTTAGATGTTCAATTGGAATCGAAGGCTGACAAATTGCATCAATTATTTAGAATACTTGCCGGGTTCACTGTTCCGAGAAGTGACAAAGTGCCAATCATTATTAGTATTGTTAGATTTTTAAAAACCTGTCAATTGCATAATGATTATACGGTCAAAGCACACAATATAATAATCTTCTATTGTTTTTCAGTGAGTTTCGTGAGATGTATACTGTATACAGTGATTGAATTTAATTTGAATATGTGAATTTATTGCACTGAACGTTTCTAATTTCTAAGTGCGTTGTTAGATTGAGACTTACATCCATGTTAATTCTTAATTGATATTGTCAACAGTATTGAAGCAATTGGGGCGTCCGTGGCCGAGGGGCTAAGGTCGTTGACTTCAAACCACTTGCCCCTCACCACTGTGAGTTCAAACCTGACAGGGACTTTGGATTCTTTCATGTGGGGAAGCTATAACCTATACTGTGTCGATGTGACGTAAACCAAACAAACAAAACAAACAAATATTGAAGCAATGATTGTTTTTATGTTGTTGTTTTTGTTATGCGACAGAAAGACTGTTAACAGGTTTTCGTGTCCGGTTTATAACCATAATGAGATAGTGTGCAGAGCGCAGGGTTAACCTTCCTCAAGTCAAAGTCACGCTAAGACATTTCGTATCAATATAAATATATTATGTCCGCTCTGTATCAAATTTTGTGTCCGCTCTGCATTTTTTGAACCGATTGAAAGAAATAAAAAACGTATTGGCAGAAATATTACTTTTATCAAGACGGTGTGCAAAACACAAGCACGAACTTCCAAAGATCAAATTGTCCCCGCCCCGTGAATATATTTATATAACTTATATAGGAGTTTATGTGTCCGGTATGTATCTTTTGAATCGGTGGAAGGAAATTGAAACTATTTGGCAAAACTGTTAACCAGGTTTCGTGTCCGGTCTTAAACCATAAACAGACGATGTGCAGAGCACAAGTTTGACCTTCCCAATGTCAAGGTCACATTTAGTAATTTTGTATCAATGTCAAAATTTTGTGTCCGCTCTGTATCTTTAAACCGATAGTAGGAAATTAAATCTATTTGAAAAAATATTTATATTACTGAGATGATGTACAGAGCACAGTTTCTGAATACCTCGGGTCACACTGACTCATTTGAAATGCTTATATAAGTGTATATAAAGGGAGATTAAAGGGTATGAATTTATCAAAACGTTTTCTCCAAATATATATGATACCTCCCTCTGTTTTCCAAAATTTATTACTTTATGATGTTGTAATTTTTACATACATTATATCTTTTGATTTTTTTCTGTTTAGATTATAATAAGTGCCGAGTAAGGTTTCTATGGTTAAATTATTTTGAAATAAGACAATCTTGTAAATTGAAAATGATGTAACTTGAAACACGTAAATTCACTAAATATCAGTAAGTTGTAAATGATGCATGTCACAGGGTCAAGTATACATTGTCTGTATTGCCAAGTGCTGTATTTTTTCGTTATGTTCGTGTCAATGTTTGTCTCTGTCTATTTATATGTTATTGTCCATGTCCCTGATTGTTTTCCGTAGTTATTTCTTTAAATAATACACTCATAGCTCATATCTCATATCCAATAGCCGTTACCTATACATAATAGTACTTTATAACATTTTCAATCTCTTTGATTATCCTTTTTCGCTAATATTTCAATTTCCCTGCTAATTTGCACAACGCATGCGCACTTGAATTGAGAAATTGTTCGCGCAGACCACAGTTTTGTTGAAGTGAAAAATAAATATTTTGAGTAGCGCATACTTGTCTTTTTACATGTAAATAGACTTTTGCAGATGATGCTATCATTATTCATGTATATTTTGCCATTCTCCGATTTTTGTGACTTTCATATTTTGCACTTGAATTGAGAAATTGTTCGCACAGGCAACGGTTATGTTTGAGTGCACAATAAGTATTTTGAGTAGCGCATACCCGTCTACCCCAGGCCCAGATTTCACAGCAGAGTCACCGAGTCCCTTTGTTTCGTTTGAGCTGCGACAAACGGGGGACCTGGGTCGAAGAGTGAATCGATATCGAAGTAGTTTGGGTGTGAAACATTCAGTATGACGTATCTAGAGTAAGATGGCTTCCTCCAGGAATTTTGGTAAACAATGTATCGAGAAGAATGTAAACAAATGATTTTACACACAGGCAATCGGTGCGTGGCTTGGATATTATACATGTACATGACCACGCCCACTTATTTTTATAAATATTTTTTTTTCTAATAAATTTTTTTCACTCAAAATAAGTTAGACTATGTTTATAGCATATATGGATGAAATTTAAAAAAAAACAACTTTCCTTTGTTGTTTTATTGAAAATAAGATATTTTGAAAACATTTTGAGTGAAAATAAAATATTTTATGAGTGAAAATTTTTTTTTTATAAAAATAAGTGGGCGTGGTTATGTACATGTATACTTTCCAAGCCACGCACCGATTGCCTGTGGTTTTACATCTATTTTACAAATTTAAGAGTGAAAACTAGACCTATACTTGCTATATAAATATTATTTGGATTGATCTGGATCGACATTTGTCATTATAACACAGTGTTCGTGGAAAATTATTAATATCCATGGATGGAATGTTTTACTTTCGTTTTCAACGGAGAGAAATGGATCGATTACCGGTGGTATTCAGTGATTTGTGACAATTGATAT